GGGCGGGCCTGATTAAGGTTAGAAAAATCAATACAAACCCTCCATTTGTCATTGTGCTTCTTCACAAGTACAGGGTTTGAAATCCACTTTGGATAGTTGGCCTCACAAACAAAACCATTACTGATAAGCCTTTCCACTTCTTCTTTCAGGACCTCATACCTTTCGGCATTCATCGCCCTTCTCTTCTGCCTGTGTAGAGTGCAATTTGAGTCAATTTGCAAGTGGTGGCAACTGACTTTAAGGTCTATTCCAATCATATCTTCATGTCTCCATGCGAAGACATCTGAATTCTTTGGGAAGAAGTCTTTTAGTTCTTCCTTAAACTCCTCTTCCGATTCTTTACTGACTTGTAAAACCTTTGACATATCTTAAGGGTCTACTGGGAATGCTTCTAGTTCTTCCATTGAGGCAGCTTGTGATTCCGACTCAATCACTCTGGGATCCGGGTCCTCCAAAGATATTTCGGATCTGGCCTCTGCCATGATAATGTCTCGTGTTGGAGGCTGCCCTTCTTCAGGGGCCTCTGAGATTTTGGCATCTAGCACCATGTTAACTCGTGGCTCTGTCTTCCTTAGAGAATTAAGATAGCACTCCTTGGATCCCATTTGATCGCCTCGGACAATGGCAATCCCTCATTCTGTGGGGAATTTCATGCAGAGGTGATGGATGGAAGTGACTGCCCATAACTCTTTCAGGGTGGGTCTCCCCAGAACTCCTTGATAAGCGGATCGGCGATCAACAACTAAAAATTCCATGAAGTGGTGTGCCACCTGGGGCGAGGCCCCCATCTCAACAGCCAAAGTAATTTTACCCTTGGGAATGATGTTGTCTCCAATGAATCCATAGATAGGCGAGCTCATTGGTGTCAGCTCATGGTCCACTGCCATTTTGTCAAAAGATGTACCAAATAGGATGTTAACTGAACTGTCATTATCCACTAGCATGCGTTTCAGCCTGTTACGGGCTACTACGGTCCTGACTACCAGAGCGTCGCAGTGTGGGAAGTGTACATTTGTCACATCTTCCTGGGTGAATGTCATAGGCTCTGCAGTCCTTCCAATTTGTGATTAGCTTACTATGTAGCTAGCCAATGGTGGAGCTCTCACCTCCCTGGTGTAATTCTTTTGTGCATTTTTTGATTCACCTTCTACATGGGGTCCTCCAATGATGGTGTCAATTTCACGAATGGGTTGCTGTTCATTTGAGGCGGATAAATCTCTCCTGGGGCCTTACCCGTTTCAAAGCCTCCCCCTATCATTGTTTCTGTCATGGTAGGAAGAGTGTCGCCTTGTTTCACCTCTTCTTGGGGAGCTGCGTTTCAGATTATTACCTTGATAGTGGTTATCCCTAGCATCACGAGGGTTGCTTGTATACCTATTCTCCATCTACATTTGCTTATATCATGGCCATAGTAGCGATGGATGCTACAGTAGGGTCGCATCTCCTTGAACTTATCTCTAGGCCTCCGCCTCTTCCCCTATTTCTAGAAGTTGAAGGTCATCCAGCATTTCTAGCCAGGTTGTTTGTGTTTGGCCCAACATTTTCATAAGCCAATGTGGGGACTGCATTCAGAGTGGCACTGGACAGTGCTTCTCCTGAAGTGGGAGCTACAGTATGTCCGACCTAAGTCCATTGTTGGCTTACTATTTGAGATGTGGGTTCCCTACTTATCTACCTCTGAGGAGGTGGGAGCCCTTGGTCAGTTCTGTTTCTATGGTCAACCATTTCTTTATTGACAATCTCAACCTTCATCATTTCCACCAATTCGTCATATGTCAGAGTGTTCTTGCTTCGAACATCTCTCCAGAACAATGTGTTCATGTTTAGCCCTCCTTTCAGGACTGAAAGGGCATATTTATCTGTGACTTGCTCATAATAAGTTATCTCATAGTGAAGCGAGCAAGGTAGCTCTTTAGAGTCTCCCCTGCTTCTTGCCTCATGTCTTGCAAGTGTTGAATCGGCACCTCTCCCTCTTTTCTTGAAAGATATTGGTTTAGAAATGCCTTTTTCAGGTCTGGCCAAGTTCTCATGCTGAGTGGTGCCAATCTACTAGACCACACTTTAGCAGCTCCACCTAGAGTTAGATGGAATGCCCTGTATTTCAAAGCTGACGAGGCGCCTCAGAGGCTCATTTATGTTTTATACTTGTTGAGATGTTTCTCCGGATCGCCCTTTCCTTCATATTTGGGAATCTTAGGAGGGACAAAGTTATGAGGGATCGAAAAGGTACGAAGTTCCTTGAGAAGGGGAACTTTTCATCGTCATCCAGTTCATACGGCCTACATGGTTCGTCAGAATCATTCACATCTGCTGCTAGGCGAGGTGGATGCTGGGCAGTTTCAGCTCTGTTCCCCTAATCCACTAGATTTCGCCTCTCTTGCCTATTTCTAGGTGGAGGGGCTTGAACCTCTTGGCTTTGTAAACGTCCCTGCTGACGAGCTGTTTGGTGCGGGGGCTGGTTCCTATTTCTAGGCGCCCATCCGATCCAATCGAAAATACTGGCAAGCCTTTGGGGTTACTCTTCATACCCTAGAGGGAAATTATATTCTCTTGCCAGGGGCGTTGTCAATAAGAGTGACAGTATAGTTGGAAGTGTCCATTCCCACTTCTCTTTCAATAGGGATTTCTCCTTAGGGACTCAGGTGAGTTCTCCTACTAGATTCCGTCTCAATTCGTCTATGGGTTAATTGTTGGGGATTTTGTGGGGCTTGAAAACCACCCTAATTTTGTACCTGCATGAGGAGCTCTTGCATAGCTACATTCTGGGTTGTAATAGTCCTCATGTTGGCAGCCATGTGGGCTACTTCGACAGTTAAACGCTCGACAGTTCTACCACTTCTACAATAGCGGTGGTGAGGCCGTTGCTGCGTAACATTTGTTCGGATAACCTCTTCTTCAGAGACATCCCTTACTCTCCTTGTATTTGCCTCTTCGTCCCTGGAACTCATGATCCGAGTGGCAAGTATCGCAAGGCTTAACGTATGGATGATCCTTTTTCAGGAACTAATCCCTTTTTCAAAAGAGAACATCAACCGGATATTCGAACGGCTTTTTGGTGGGAAGACTCGTGGTTAAAGTAAGTTTCCCACACACGGTGTCAATATGTTGACCTCGAAAAATAGCTCCAACACATGGCCAACAGAATACGTTTTCAAGTCAGCTCTTCCCTGCATACGTAGCACGCCGTTAGTCACCCGTGGCCTTTCCTGGAGGGGTTGGGAAAAGGTTGATAAAGTCAGTTTATAGTTCAACCGGAAAAGGTTCACCGGCGGTAGAACACTCGCCGGAAGTGGTTGATAAAGTGTGTAGTGATAAAGTGCCAATACTTAAGGGAGAAGATAATACCCCAAGTTGGCAATTTATTGTAGGAAAATATGTAGGATTCAAATATATGTGATTCCAATGTGTGGGATTCCAATCCTTCTTCTGGCACAAGGAGGAGATATTTGTACTAAGGATGGAAAGATAACAGCCATTGGATGAGGAAAAACATGTTATCAGATCCGCTGGCCTCATTCCATCCTAGGTGTCAATTTGTTCTTCCATAGGTTAGCTGGCATTGAATGTCTCTGACAAAGGCAACTGAATTGATTGTTTAGGTCCTGCCACACGTCCCATCAGTCGGGATTTGACTTTGGAAAGATTTTTGTACAAGAGATATTTGATAGGCAAGGCGAGCCAGGTGAGGCATTGCAGCTTTGCAGAAGCGGAGTGTGGGCCTTTGCGTCCACGGTGTACTTGCAGATGAGTATGGTTCCTTCGCTGACGTGTGTTCAGTTCGTTCCTCATATAATCACTTCAGAATATACAATCAACTCATCATATGTACAATCACCTCGGTCAACGCATGGCGTAGTGTAGACCACCTCTACGACACGTGGTGGGTAAGGTGGCGGGTCTGACACAGGCCCGTAACACTTGCCAGTGCTAATAAGACATTATATGCCCCTCTTTGGTTTTGCTAAAAATCATGAAAAAGCTAGATTAAGGCTGGATTACCCTTATCATTTTCAACTGCATGTTCTCACAATAAAATATTTTACTCGTAAACAATAAATTTTTTTCATACTTATTAACTACGCATTCTCCAAAATTCACAATTTCAAGGTCCATTTTTCCCAAAAACTCATTTTAATATCTTGGTGCCACAATATCTCACCATAGGTGATTTTAAGAATTTAATCAACAAAATGATAAGACAATGTGGATATTTTCTTTGCTTCATCACCACAAGTATCCAGACAAACAATTTTTTCAAAGTCTATTTTTAGAAAATCACCATCAACCAGGGACTAAACCAAATATAATTTACCATAATGAAACTGACTGCAATTCTCACAGCTCTCCTAGATTTCGTACTCCTATACCAACTCCCAGCTATAGTTTTCAAAGCCCTCCTATATTGTGCGCTCCTGCAGCAACTTCCAACTTTATGAATTCGTCTATCTCCTGCGGATCAACAAAAAACTCCGCGTTCTTCAACAACTGGAACTCTAATCACCTTCTTTTGATCTTCAGAACTCCATCACCTTCCCTTTGTGAACATGAGCCTAACATAGGTGGAAAATTGATTTCAGAGCAGCCACTTAAATTATATTTGATTCCACCATGAACTAGTAGGATGTCATCAAATCATGGCTGAAAGAGCAAATAGTGACTTTTTTTTCAGCTAAGGTGAACCTCCTCAAGAGTTGTTGAATTTTGAATGAAAATAATTAAACCCTCGTTTGATTTAGCTAAAAAGGCCCTTTAAGATCCTCAAAAATGGACAAATTTCTTTTTTTAAGAACATAAACAAGATTCATCACTATAAAAAGACTACGTAAAAACGCACATAGAATACCAAAGGGTCATATTCTAACAAAGGGTAAATAGCACATAACCTTCTCACCTTTCAAAGTTATTCTCACATTTCTGAACGAAACACGCTACTATGCGCAATTTATATATCTGTAGACTCGAATGGAATCGACCAATGCATTGTCCATGCAAAATCTACAATGGAGGGCAAGAACCAAGACAATATCACTGAATCAGGAGAACTCGCTCATGACTGGGCCGAATTGATCCAGGAGTGCCTCATCAACATCCTCACGTGCCTCTCTTTGAAGGACCGATGGCTAGGAGCCATGCGTGTGTGCAAGGCAAGGCTGCAGGCATGCAAAGATCCGCACCTCCACTCAGTGTTCGACCTCGAGACTAAATTCGACTCGGCCACTGAGTTTTCCCTATTCTGGACCCCCAAGTTCGAGAGCAAGATTGATAACATGATAATATCAGTCGTCGACTGGAGCGGTGAGTCCCTTAGTAAAAGGTTGTGAATGATAGAGGATTCGTCACTCTTAGATAGTAAGAGATTATGATCTACATTTTATCCAGCTAAGTTGATAATGAAATCCCTGGCCAATGTAAAATCATAAGTCAAAAATGAGTTTTTGACTTACATTGACTTAACAGCGGGATAAAAGATATGATCGATAATTGAGATTAACACATATCCATACCTCGTAATTGATCGGATCATATTGACGAAAGGATTATAGTTTCATGGCAAACAAACAAGTTTGGTTTTGTCGCACTACGTGACATTTTTTGTCACATGTATGCCCTGACACATTGGTAGATGTTAATTTGGGATGACGAACATGAATTAGTGATAAATTAAAATGGGTATTTTAATTTATCGATTTTGATTAGATCAGAAATAATAATTTATGTCGTTAGGCATCGTGATAGGGAACCCAATGGATCACATACAAAAGATAACTAGAAGAATGAGATTCACCAATTAATTAATTGGGTTGCTT